TTATCTGGCGTAAATGCATCGCGTGACTCTTTTCTCGAATGCTGGGAGCTCTCTAGAGACTGCGCTTTCCTCGCTTTCTTATCAAGAGGTTTGCTTTTACTCCCCTGCGCGACTTTTCCGGGAAATCTTGTACCGCTCTGGAAAAGAGGCATTTAAGTGAAAAGCAATATATATATATATACATTTTTCAAATAGCATTCATCCGAGCCAGAAAAACTATTTCTACATTATTGTTTTTTTTTTGGATTCATATGTACCTTTCCAAAAACAATCGTACCAGTGACCAGGCGGAATCCTTTCAGATGCCGTGTAATTTTTTCCGTTCCAGGGCCCATTACTTGTAAGGCTTACATTGTCCCAACATGGCAAGCTGAAATATCGCCGAGCTGCCGAAGAAAGAAGAGATCGGCCGATAATTCTACGAGAACTTATTGCTCCCCATTACGGATAGAGACGAATCCCACGCTTTCGATCTTTCGGATAACTATTCCGGCTAACATCTGGTATCACTCCTCCAATCCCGTATCCCTTTACATCCGAGAACTCCTCTCTTGTAACCCTCGCTAGGAAATTACCTCCGTGTACTTGCGAATCGATTTTGTTAAATTACTGAAGTCACTCAAACTGTCCCACAGTACAATTTTGGTCTAAATTCCACAATTCGTTCGAGCTCGTTAAGGTGAAGTGAAACACGTCGAGGAACTTGATCAACGTTGATAAAGAAGATTTTTCTAAATGCCTACGTTGCCGACGTTCGTTTTTATATTGACAGCTGGGTCGAATTATATCGTGTATTGTACCAAATGGCATATTCCACCTGTCGTTTTTGTACAATAATTATAAAGAAATCGAAGTGAAACTCCAGAAATCCTCTGGATTCATGCCTTCTGGGGCTCTAATTGACTGCGGAGGAACCCCCTGCGCCATCTGTGATTTCCAGGTCAATTAAATTTTCACTCCGAGACCTCATATTTCCATCGTTTTGGTATAGAAGCGCATAAAACACTTTTTTTGCCTTTATCCCGTTCAAATGCGAGTTTATCGATTACCAGAGTGTTCTAAATTGTCGTAAAATTGTCCTGACCCTTTCGATTCTCATATCAGAGCCTTCGATAATTGTATATTGATCGAAATATGAGAGCTCGACGCCATTTTGGTTCTGGCCTGGACTGAGTTAAAAAATTTGTTTGAAAAATCCAAATTTTGAACGTGTCAGGACAATTCTTAGATGATCAGGAGTGATGTGTCAAAGATTCGGACAGTTTGGTCTAATACCCTTAAAAAAAAGTGTTGTATTCGAATCGACTGATTTGAAGGAAGTTTCACTTCACCTTAAATGCCTCTACACCAGATTACGTGTTCAAAGTGAACGCTCCTTGGTTTCGAGGGAAAGTGTTCGGATTCATTTTTACAAACGGCAAGATGATTCCAGTACCATTGCGAGGAGTTGCGAATTCGGAGGGCATGCACTCGCTTTCAGGCGTCGCGAAATCAAATGAAGCAGCATCTGATAATAACGTCGGGAGCTCTCGCGTAATTTCATTTGCGCGTAATGCGGCAGGGATTCGGCTGGCGGGGCATTCATTGTACGAAATTAATTAGTATGGAAATATGGACTGCTACGTAATTTTAATTATCTCGACTAATAGCGAGCGCGAAACGAACGGAATGCGGTCGTTCGCGTCGCGTGCCGGGCAGTTCTCGTAAATAACGATACCCGATAACGCGCCCGGGCGCAATTGCACTCGCAAGCCCGAAACGATTCGCCGAGTGAAGCCCTGCCTGTTGTCGATCGCCGATTATCAGAAGGACCTTCTTCTCCGCTATCGCACCATTCGCTCGATACGACCGCCATATTCGCATCATTTTCACGCCTAGCTCGCAGGCGAACGACTGGCGTAAATACAGATGAAAATTTACCCAGCTGCGCAATAGACGTCCCTCCTCTTCGGGTCCATCAGTCGGCCCCTAGATGTCCCAACGTATGCAAAATAGCTGCTGCACTCCATTGTCGAAACTCCTGTCCACTGAAAATACCGGTAGAGCAAACACGTATACTCGACGTATCGGATGATCGAAACAACATTGAATTTTAGGTCACTCTTGCCACGTGGTAGATTTAAATGTCTTAAATTAGGGACGATACATACGTGAGATTCTTGAGAAAGTTGAAAAAGGGAACTCGATAGTGGAAATAACTATTCCTTTGGGAATATTTATAAATTCATTTGGGCGTTTCACGTCCGTACGCTTTGAACGCCATCTCCCAACATGGCCGCCCTCCGAGTTCAATTCCGCACCTGATTACTTTCTAAATTAATTAAATCGTTGATAACCGGCAAACTGAAAGATGAATAATTAAGAAGGAATAGGGAAGAGCGGATCGCCGAGGACGGGGGAACGGGCAATGGCTTAACCGGGGCAATAATTAAATGGGAATATGAGCAAATCGAAAGTTAATTAGGTTGCGCCTATTTCCGTTAGGCCGGGCGCCAGTGGGGCGCGCCGCGGCCGTCGGATGGCGCCACCGTCGTTGGCGCGGTATAATCAAATTACCGTAATTGAATCCATTGTTAACTCGTTTATAACACCGACAATTTAACGCGTACCTTGAATATTCATGCGATCGACGGCGCCCGGCGAAGCCGGGGTCCCGCCGTTTTAATGATCGGCGAGTTAATTAGCGGCCGTTGGATCCGGGAGGAAAGAAGGAGCGGCGGACGTGGAACTTTTCGGGAAGCGGAAACTCTCGGCAGGATCGGCGGCTGCCTCGAGAGACCGCCGCGCCATCTCGCGTCCCCGTCGAACTTCACCGACTCTACATCGCGCCAATTTCTGAGCTTCCATCCCGGCGTCCGACGTGCGCGGGCCTTCCGTCGGATTCAATTTCCGTCCTGGAGGGAAACTTTCAGCCGCCTTCCCGGAAGCTGAGGCGAAATTGCACCCCGGACTCGGCGTACGCTTCGAGAGAGCCATCCATGCCGCCTAAACGCCAGGCAGCGTATATCTACGATAAACCTGTCAACGGAACGGGCGTCTGTCCTGACTGGCTCTGACGAGACAAAGGTCGCCACATCGCCCGTTAACGTCTTCATTGAGTGACTAATACGATGGAACTTTCACTTCTTGCATGATTTTATGGTAAAACCTTTATAAACAAGGCGAATAATGTGGGGTTAGGGTGTAATTTCATGCGATATTCTGTCCATGCACGGGTAAATCCGATCGCGATGAATTTTTCAAAATGGCGGCGGCGACGTCCCGTAGATTCGCAGATCCAATCTCTGCGTCAAAATTATCTCGCGTGTTACAAAGATTCCGATCGCCTGTCTAACGGGCGAGTAATTGGCCGACATTTCGCGCTAAACCGACGAGACTATCGATCAACGTCATCCGGCAACGTGAAAATCCGATAGTTTCTAACCCCCCCAGCTTTTTCACTCCCTTGTCGCCCACGGCGTTGCGTTTGCCTGAGCAGGTAATTCGAAATAACAAGAATGCTGTTCGTTAGTGACTGTATTTTTTAATCCAACCGAATTTTGGGGGAAAAAATGTCATATCTCATAGACAATACCGTGTCAGTCAATCAAAACTTCGCGGAGAAATAAGGGATAATTATTTTCTGAATTTCTAACAAATTCACGAATACATAAGGAACATTTAACAATTTACTAGTTTGCATTGATCGTCGATGGGAAATCGGGTGACTGCATATTTTTCTTCGTATTTTATGGCGGTAATAATGCATTTTTGAGCTCGATTAATGAATTCAGGGTTGAATAAGAAATTCCGCAATCTCAGGAGGAAGATTTACGTTGGTCTGGGAGAAGGAGACAAACTTCCGAGGAGTTTGTAGATTAAAACGACGCCGCGGAATTCATTATAATCGTTGTCCCGTGGCCCTGGAAATAACTTGTCCCGAAGAGGAGTTTTCTTTCATTCATTAACGGCACTTGCAAATTGCATAAGGCGCGTAAATTTCTCGAGGGCGCGAGTGGTGCCCTCGCGCGGGAACATGGTGAAGTTTCTACCGAGTGTTCAAACAAACGTCGGTAAAACAGAGCGCAGCTCCGGAGCGTCTTCGCCGACCTTGGTGGGTAATTGCATTTGCGCGAGGTGTACCGTAAATGAATTTAAGAAGGAATATAATTACACCGCGCAATTATGCACAAGCTCCTAGAGCGCGGTCGAGCACTCCGACAAAGGGAATCGAAATCTCGGAAACACTTTCCAAATAATATATACATATTACGAGCACTTCCGCATTGGAATTACATTACCGATCTTTTCAGTGTTCCTTACATTAGTCGATATACACGTTGCACGAACACCTGACAATATGTAATTAAACATTCAATGCGTGATTATAATTGAACTTTCTTCGTGCATTATGAGATTAGGAGGATATTCTTTTCTGAAATTCTCAACTCGTGGCTGCCTCACATCATTGTACACCTTCACCTGGGGAAAATAGGTGAAATTTAAAATCGCTATAGGTGATGCGGTCTTATTAATGAAAATTATCTTTCACCCCGTGATGTGAGGTTTGAAAGTTAGATGACGTATTGAGGTAATGCACCTCGTGTACAACTGGGTTAATACCTTGGCCAATATCGATGACTCGTTGATTTGGCTCCCCCATCGACAATTCTTCCCTCTCGGCCGTTGCCAATTTTCCATCGAGGGGTAATCGAATGCACAGGAAGAATATTACATTCGCTACGAGGTACAATACGGCGAGGCAAACGAAATACAGGATTTCCATTACATCGACGGCTAATTTTTCTTTACGAGCGCGCCTCTAATGTACTTACGACGCGCTCGTTCTATGAAATCATCGAAAATGGGAGAATTAAAATTCAGTTAATAGTGACATTTTGGAGTCATGGATTCCATTGAACCGGCCAGAACTGCATTTTACGTCAGAATTCAATTTAATTGAGCCGCGGCTTAGTTCAGACTTATTTTCCCGACAACCGTGTGCATACCTGGTACTTGAAATTTTTTACCGGCGCTTCTATTATAAGGAACTATAAAATTGAAATCAATGTTATTATAGAACCACGGGGCATCCTTTCGTTAAAAATTTAGATCCTTGTGTTCTTCTTCAAGGTTTCTATACATCTTTATAACGATCGGTGTCCACTCTTCCAAATGGATTTCTGCTAGGTAACTCAAAATTGCACCGATGGTATACTGAAATGGGAAAAAGGATAACGTAGAGAACAACGTGCATCGCTGACAAGGCCTCTCAAAGGGGATTTCACGAGGAGCCTTCTTACAGTTACTGAAAGATGGAAGTTAAATTCCAGGTAAAACGACGAGAAAAAATGTATAAAGGACCCATAACGTGGCACGTGGCCTGGAAGACAGGACAACGGTGCTCCTTCAGCAACGTTTATCGCAAGGACAGCTGCTCCCATAAGCTCCCGTTGAATTTCGACAAATACAGAGAATCCCTTTGTACCGCACCGCACGAAGTGCCTTGATAATTCTCGGAGAACCAATGAATGGATTCTGTGATTAAACTATAATACACTGTTACACATTGCGGCATGAATGTAGTTCCTTCAAGGTATGAATAATTACTTAGATAAGTAATACATTTTACATTTCATTACGTATAGAGTCCTCGTTAATTGAGAATTATTTTATAATTAATATTACCATGGAGCTTGAACTTAATTTTTATCTTAGGAAACTTGGGCTGTCCAGTGCAAGGAGAACTGCGGTTCAATCGATGAACTCTCCAAGTTTCCCGCCAAAAGTGCAGATGCAACCCGAACCCCTGCATAAGAGGTTATATAGTCTCTTCAGGTGCCCGGATTTTACCGGAGGATTTTCCAGAGGGCACGAGGATCTCCTTTGTCGCGTGCGAAGCACGTGCGAGCAAAAGGAAAGTCCCTGTCGTCCTTTAGGACGGAGGATCGTGAGTCTAGGATGAATGGCTGAAACGGCGGGCGCACGTTTCTTTTTTCTCCGTGATACGGCTCGTTGGTAGGGGATCTTGTACTGAATCTTAGTCTGCTTTAGGACAAAGGTTCCGGTGGAATTCAAAGACCATTTTTTCTTGGATTTCTGACTGGGTACTCGCGATTTGGCACCGTGAACAAAGACTGACGCATGGAATTGTCCTTCATTTATAGCAATTAAAATGCATATTATATTTTCCGGAGAGAGCGGTCAATGTTTACGACCATTAACCCTTTCGTTACCTTGGACGAGATATCTCGCGACCCAATACTGACCGATTAACGCTTTTGACGAGATATCTCGCGACCTGGTAGTAGCCGATCAACCTTTTTGACGAGATATCTCGCGACCCGGTAGTAGCCGATCAACCCTTTTGACAAGATATCTCACGATCCGGTAGTAGCTGTATTTATTTCTTCCTTTTAGCTATACGAATAGAATTAGTTATAAAATATATTCATCTAGAATGTCAAAATATTGGTGCTAGAAAGCTAGATTATCGTCAAAAGCATTAATCCGCTACTACCGGATCACGAGATATCTCGTCAAAAGCGTTGATCGGCCAGTATCGGGTCGCGAAATATCTCGTCAAAAGCGTTAATCGGCCAGTATTGGGTCGCGAGATATCTCGTCCAAGGTAACGAAAGGGTTAAAAAGAAATGTGAATGAATTCTATTGCACTGACTGTAAGAAAGCGACTCGTCGAACCACTATAAAGTGACAATATTTATAGGAAATATTAATATTTCTATAAATGGAAGAGTAGATTTTGAAGATTGCAATCTTACGTGGAACAGGGCAGAAGTCCGACGAAAAGTGAGCGTTATATGTACCACCGTTCTATCGTGATATCGTTTCGTCCGTACCTCGAAACGTTGTCTCAAGAATCCATTAGTTGATTCCAACGCTAATATTTTCCCTGCCTTGAAGTCCGTAACTTTCATGTAAGTTCTTCTCTGGCCTTTCCTTAAAAAATATTTAATTAATTTATAAATCTTTTTTGAAGGACTACAATTCCTACCCAGCCATCGCAGGTCCAGGATCGATTGGTAGAATTTTCCCACGGAGAGAATCCTCGCGTCTGCTTCTTTGAATCTCGATGTCCAAGGCAACCACTTTGAAAGGAAATTCATGCGGAATTATATTTCTACTCTAGTTCCTTTTTTTCTTCTCGCGAAAATATTGAACCGATCTCACCAGGGTGAATAGAACTCATGATAGCCTAAACGAGATTCGGTACTTGGGCCGTTTCAATTTTCCTTAGAGAACGGTAGCAAAGGAAGTAACGAAAAAAAGTCCTTTTGTAATGGAGGATATCCCGTTCGCGATCCCTTTATTCGAGATCTCGTTCTAAGGGTTCTATCATCTAAAGAGTTGGCCCGAATATTATGGCGTGAGAATTGGTGCACGTATTATGCATGGCGATGAATAAGGAGATCGAATAATTCATTTCAGTACATGGGAATGATGACACGTCTTGAGCGAATAATCATTGCTCATAGGTGATTACTAATGTGCCTATTGTTCAAATAGTTTCGTATCTCATTATTTTTTTAACCTATCAAGGTGTCTATTCGTTTAGGTTCAGATTTTACCATACATCCCGTCAAAGCTTCGTCTTAAAATTTTGATATAATCCGAAATAAGTACAGATATTGTAACGCAGAAAAATCGTCTACTCTCGATGGCCTTATTAAAGTTGACTTAACTCATTCAAGAGGTTCAACAAACGACATTCATTGTCCAATTTGACAAGCCAGACTGAACATCGCAGATAATGACTAGGTCTGAGTTTCGCGCCTCTATATATATATATATTTGGCGCGAAACTCTACCGAGTTTTTTAATTTCGTATTAATCTTGCAGGACCACATTTGTTAGTCTGATTATAGGGACATTTGACACCGTTTAAAATGGCGCCGTAATGTTATCTGCCGCCCGCGGCTACCCTCTGTCCCGTGGGTTTTGCAGGGAATATTTACTCTGCTCAATTATCCGAAAACCATAAAATTCGTTTATTTTTTCGCATGCTTTTCTACCTCTGATCGTCCTCGTCGATATTAGCGTTTTCACGATTCGATGAGCTTCGATGGGTACTCGCGTTTACGTGAATAGTTGCCGCACAGCGCAATCAATAGGTCTACATGTTTTACAAACCAATTGAACCTCAACTCGTACCGCCAATATTTATTTTATATATATATATTTTTTTTTGCGCGAGGTACTTCGATCGTAACGTAGATACAAATCGCATGGTTGGCTTTGCTAAACGAGGAGTCAATTCGACGGGTCGTCGAGATTCGTGCGTTTCTGTTTCTGGGAAATAAAATTGTTCAGCGGAAATGTCAATTAAAAACTTCCGGATCGAATCGCATTGCAGGCAGGCGCAACGAGAGCGTACTTTTAAATTTCAGCCGTTTTAATGGCACATTCCTCGATAGAAATTCCGCGATAGATGGATTTCTTTTTTAATCATCTTTCTTCAACGAGCGTCTAATTAAAAATATTTCCGAAATTTATGAGACATTTGCTTCTGTTTACAGGGTCGATGGTATCGAGTAGATATTAACCTTTTCGAGAACATTCGTGTTCGTCAAGAAGTGGAAGAGTTTTATGGTTTCTATGTTGGCCTTGCGCCGGTGATGAACAGCGAAGTCGTCAGGGTTCACTTCAAGTCGATAAATTTCAACAATCCCAAACGAAATCAGCAAGAACGACACCAAGAAAACCTTGAACTTGGACATTCTTTACCATAAGATCATCTGGCTGGGATTCGAGAATGAGATTCAGGTCGTAAGTACATCTAATTTAGGGAAATAAGCAAGGAACACGACGAGCCGAGATCCGACTGAATTTGAATGAAGAAAAAGATGCAATCTGGACTAGGCAATCGATTTTCGTCGGACATTGATCGATCTTTATATCTTGAATACTTAAGAAAAATCCGTGGACAAAATTTAAATGAAGAAATAAATGCAATTTGGACTAGGCGATCGCGATTTTCTTTGGAAAATTGATCGATCTTCATATGGACCGTTTATTTTGAAAGTGGTGCAGGTCCATTTTCTTTTGTTTCGAGAAAATTAAATGTTAGCAGATCTGACAATTAAAAAATATAGGTTAATTATGTGAAGTCTAGGAATGTTTGTACTAATCTATCAATATGTAATTTGATTAAATAAATTTCTTTTAGGCGAATTTAAGTAAAATAATGTATATTTCCAGGCTGCAAATGAACTTACACCACTTTCGTAATTAGTCAATTGTAAATATCATTTAATTTCAATTTTGAAATAACAAATATCACTTAAAATATATTTCATATTAATCCAATTTTGTTTATAAATAATAACAAGAAATAAAATAGAATTAGTATTTCTTATTTTGAACGTTAATTATATTTGTATATTGTTAAACTTAACACAAGATGTTGGTATTATTAATTATTTATGCTCTTCATGTGGCAGTGTTTTGAAATATTCATGATGCACAGGAGGTATATAAGGTAATAACTGCTGCATATCTTTATACTTTTTGTATGTAATAGACCTGGAATCGTGATACAAAGGTGCCAGGGCGATTTTTTCAAATTTTGTCGGTCTTCCCCGACATGTAGGTGATAAATTTAGAGTCTTAAATTCTGTGTCCTCCATTGATGTTTTATATAAAATAGTATACGGTGCACTTTTGCAAAATCTCATCCAACATATTTGCAACCAATTTACTTTTTCTGCATTAGTGTTTCTTCTTATCTGTTTTTTAATTGCGTTTTGTAGATTTTTTTGTTGAAACGAAATTCTCTCGTTTCATTTCGTGTAAAATAAATGTATTATACCTAAAATAGTAACTTTCGGCACGTGAAATAAAACAATGTTGAAGCCACCGGGTGGCCACTAACCCCGCCACCTGTCTATGGAAATTGGACTTACACCACTCATAATCAATGGTTACGCAATTTCTTTTACCGGCCAATTTTAAATTGAACAAAGCATTGGCATTTTTTATGATATTAAATACTAACTAGTTATAAACAAAAAGTTTACAATAAATTAAGCATAAATTACGTCATATCTCAATTTTTTTAAAAAAGGACACACCACTTTCAAAATAAACGGTCCATATCTTGAATATTTAAGAAAAATCCGTGGACAAAATGTAAATGAAGAAACAGATGCAATTTGGACTAGGCGATCGATTTTAGTCGGAAATTGATAGATCTTTATATCTTGAATACTTGTGAAAAATCCGTGGATATAATAGACACTTTTAGGGCAAGTTTTTCTGCTATATCGAGGAATTCGCGTGTACCGTTCTTCGGCGAAGAATTACGAGCCACTGACTGCAGAAAAGGCGAGCCTCGACGACGAGTGAAACCATACGTCGAGCAAATAACATTAGTCGTTGCACCTTTTTCCTGGCAAACCTAACCTTGCCCCACGCGGTCGGGACTTGTTTTGCGAGTACGGGCGGAAATAAACTAGAATGAAAATCATATTCCTCAGGAAAGCCGTCCGAGGAACAAGAAGTTGATCCCCTCTGTTCATTTCTCGAATCAAGATTCATTTCCAATTCTCCGCCGTTCCTTTTACCATCTTCGCGGTGCCCTTTCCCGGATATGTCGGGCAAATGCTCCCCCATCGGGACGGCATATTAGTCGTTGCATTTCCTGCCAAAATCGACCGCCGCCAGTTCCCGATCCTAGCGAAGGATCGTCAGGACACGGGTTATGTAAATGCGCCGGAAGCGTCCAGGATTCGTTGTTGAATTATTCAGCGAGCCGTGTGCTGATATCCGGCTGGCCCCTGGCGTGTACTTCCACGGACATAGCATTTCCCATGATGCAGAATTTCCACGGGTCACCTGAGGCGGCTGATCCCAGCCTGGGAAATCACCAGGCTCTCCTGTTTGATTTTTCTTGCCCGGACATTTTCCTACCGATCGACGCCTCGAATGGAATCCGATCATCTCCAAAGAAAAAAAGATTACAATTAATCGCCCATTATCTCGGATCCTCCAATGGAGAGAATTTTAATACGCTTTTATTTTCTTATGGGACATTGGCCAATTTTTTCAGTCATCGTACTCTTCGTGCGCAAACAATTGGGGACAAATACTACATTTAAGGTGAAGTGAAACACGTCGAGGAACTTGATCGACGCCGATAAAGAAGATTTTTCTAAATGCCTACGTTGCCGACGTTCGTTTTTATATTGACAACTGTGTCGAATTATATTGGGTATTGTACCAAATGGCATACTCGACCTGTCGTTTTCGTACAATAAATATCAAGAAATCAAAGTAGAACTCCAGAAATCATCTGGATTCATGGTTTCTGGGGCCCTAATTGACTGCAGAGGGATCCCCTGCGCCATCTGTGATTTCCAGGTCAATTAAATCTTCACACCGAGACCTCGTATTCCAATCGTTTTGGCATACAAGCGCATACAACACTTTTTTTGCCTTTATCCCGTTCAAATGCGAGTTTATCGATTACCAGAGTGTTCTAAATTGTCGTAACATTGTCCTGACCCTTTCGATTCTCATATCAGAGCCTTCGATAGTTGTATATTGATCGAAATATGAGAGCTCGACGCCATTTTGGTTCTGGTCTGGACTGAGTTAAAGAATTTTTTTGAAAAATCCAAATTTTGAATGTGTCAGGACAATTCTTAGATGATCAGGGGTGATGTGTCAAAGTTTCGAACAGTTTGGTCTAATGCCCTTAAAAAAAAGTGTTGTATTCGTATCAACTGATTTGAAGGGTGTTTCACTTCACCTTAATACCTTCATAGGAATATGTGGGAATTAAGTGCGTGAGAATATCGTCGACGAAATGGGAGGACCCGCAGATTCGGTTTGGTCTGTCGAGAAATCGCGTTTACCTCGTGTTAAGAGACGGCGATGATTCGACGCGTGCTCTAGGGGCTTTCCTGGTGTTATAATACACCCTCATACGAAGCATATGCCGCCCTATCGCGGAGAATTAACGTCAAGACCTGACAACCGTCGACTTCCGCTCTTCCCATGCCCCTATCGCGAAACAACCCATAGCCGCCATTCCCGCCCTCGCTTTATCACGAACCGG